GGTGTAGGTGATGGTGGAGGAAGAAGGTGCAGGGTGGTTGGCTATGGTGTATGGGTGTAGGTGATGGTGGAGGAAGAAGGTGGGAGGTGTTTTGGGTTGTCCTTTGGACATCCGGGCAAGGTGGATGGCTATGGTGGATGGGGAGAGGGAGATGGTGAGGAAGGCGGTGGAGGGAGAAGGTGAAAGGCGATTGGCTATGGCGGATGGGTGTGGGTGATGGTGGAGGAAGAAGGTGCAAGGCGGTTGGCTATGGTGGATGGGTGTGGGTGATGGTGGAGGAAGAAGATGCGAGGCGGTTGGCTATGGCGGACGGGTGTAGGTGATGGTGGAGGAAGACGGTGCAGGGCCGTTGGCTATAGCGGACGGGTGTGGATGATGGTGGAGGAAGAAGGCGGAAGAAGATTGGCTGTGGTGGATGGGTGTAGGTGATGGTGGAGGAAGAAGGTGCAGGGTGGTTGGCTATGGTGGATGGGTGTAGGTGATGGTGGAGGAAGAAGGTGGGAGGTGGTCGGCTATGGTGGATGGGTGTGGCTGATGGTGGAGGAAGAAGAAGCAAGGCGGTTGGCTATGGCGGATGAGTGCGGGTGATGGTGGAGGAAGAAGGTGCAAGGTGGTCGGCTATGGTGGATGGGTGTGGGTGATGGTGGGGGAAGAAGGTGCAAGGCGGTTGGCTATGGCGGATGGGTGTAGGTGATGGTGGAGGAAGAAGGTGCACGGTGGTTGGCTATGGCGGATGGGTGTAGGTGATGGTGGAGGAAGAAGGTGCAGGGTGGTAGGCTATGGTGGGTGGGTGTAGGTGATGGTGGAGGAAGAAGGTGCAAGGTGGTTGGCTATGGTGGATGGGTGTAGGTAATGGTGGAGGAAGACGGTGGGAGGTGTTTTGGGTTGTCCTTTGGACATCCGAGCAAGGTCGATGACTATGGTGGATGGGGAGAGGGAGATGGTGAGGAAGGTGGTGGAGGGAGAAGGTGCAAGGCGATTGGCTATGCCGGATGGGTGTGGGTGATGGTGGAGGAAGACGGTGCAAGGCGGTTGGCTATGGCGGATGGGTGTAGGTGATGGTGGAGGAAAAAGGTGCGAGGCGGTTGGCTATGGCGGACGGGTGTAGGTGATGGTGGAGGAGAAGGTGCATGAAGGTTGGCTATGGCGGATGGGTGTAGGAGATGGTGGAGGAAAAAGGTGCAAGGCGGTTGGCTATGGTGGATGGGTGTAGGAGATGGTGGAGGAAGAAGGTGCAAGGTGGTCGATTATGGTGGATGGGCGTAGATGATGGTGGAGGAAGAAGGTGGGAGGTGTTTTGGGCTGTCCTTTGCACATCCGAGCAAGGTGGATGGTTATGGTGGATGGGGAGAGGGAGATGGTGAAGAAGGTGGCGGAGGGAGAAGGTGCAAGGCGATCTTGGCCCCGTGCCGCCCCCTAACCCAAGTGTCCGGGTCCGTTGTCCGCCGTATTCCCTAGTCCAGGAGGCAAAACACAATTCCACAACACATAACCTACAGCTAACATGCAGAAAACACAGATTTGCAGCAGACACAATTGGCTGAAAAATCGCAGAATTTGCAGATTTGCCAGTTACGGTAACTTACCATTTTTGCTGGTTGCCGAGGGTGAAAAATCAGGATACACAGGTCTGTATTTCCTGCCCCAAATGACCTCAGAATCCTCCAAAACTCGGTGGGCCCTCTCAGTGTATCACACGAAAGGCCTCTGCAAGTTTTGGTTTCATTCTGACGCCGTTTGGGTCAAGTTGTCTGTTTCGGGCACCGACAGGTCTCGGGGTGAACAGTTTGTGGAAGTCCATTTTCTGATTTTTTTAGAAAACGGACTCCGATGGCCTGCTGGGTCTGCAGGCTGCCTGTTTATGCCTAGGATATGAGGTCTGAGAAATATCAGCCCTCATACCCATGGTTTGACAACGTTGCCGCAGTCGTGCCCCCGGGCCGCATCAGCTCGCTTACCGTTTTTGGATGGTCCCGCGCCGGTGAATGGTCAATCCTCTTTGTTTGCCTTAACGACAGTCCGATAGCCAGACTCTAGCAGCTAACACAGTCCTACAGCAGTTCATCAGTAGAATTGACAGCAAGAGTTTCATCCGCTGAGAAAAACAGCACTCTCCCCATTCTCAATTACCGCGTTCGAATAGAACACGGGGGGGGCGAAATCATGCGGTATTCCGTCTAGAGCAGAAGGGGAAAAGTAGCGATTTACTTGGGAGTAGAAAATGGACAATGCAAGCACTCTATACTACAAAAACACCAGATTCCACCAAGATTGAAGTAACGAATTACTCCCAAGTGAAGAATCAAGTGAAACATGGAGAGAAAGAGAGAAAACAACACATTTGAGCTCACACACACAAGGGGAAAAGTAGCGATTTACATAGGAGTGAAAAAATGGACAATGCAAGCACCCTACACTACAAGAACACTAGATTACACCAAGATTGAAGTAGCGAATTACTCCCAAGTGAAGAGTCAAGTGAAACATAAAGAGAAAGAGAGAAAACAACACGTTTGAGCTCACACACAAGGGGAAAAGTAGCGATTTACATAGGAGTGGAAAAATGGACAATGCAAGCACTCTATACTACAAGAACACTAGATTACACCAAGATTGAGGTAGCGAATTACTCGCAAGTGAAGCATCATGTGAAACATAGAGAGAAAGTGAGAAAACAACACATTTGAGCGAAAACACACAAAGAGAAAAATAGCGATTTACATGGGAATGGAAAAATGGATAATGCAAGCACTCTATGCTACAAGAAACCTAGATTACACCAAGATTGAAGTAGCAAATTACTCCTAAGAGAAGAATCGTGTGAAACATGGAGAGAAAGTGAGAAAACAACACATTTGAGCTCACACACACAAGGGAAAAAGTAGCGATTTACATAGGAGTAGAAAAATTGACGATGCAAGCACTCTACACTACAAGAATACTAGATTACACCAAGATTGAAGTAGCGAATTACTCCCAAGTGAAAAATCAAGTGAAACTTGGAGATAAAGTGAGACAACAACACATTTCAGCTCACACACACAAGGGAAGAAGTAACGATTTACATAGGAGTATAAAAATGGACAATCCAAACACTCTATACTATAAGAATACTAGATTACACCAAGATTGAAGTAGCGAATTACTCCCAAGTGAAGAATCATGTGAAACAAATAGAGAAAGTGAGAAAACAACACTTGTGAGCTCACACACAAAAAGTAGCGATTACATAGGAGTGGAAAAATGGACAATGCAAGCACTCTATACTACAAAAACAAAAGATTACACTAAGATTGAAGCAGCGAATTACTCCCAAGTGAGAAATCGTGTGAAACATGGAGAAAAAGTGAGAAAATAACACATTTGAGTTCACACACGTAAGGGGAAAAGTAGTGATTTACATAGGAGTGGAAAAATGGACCATGCAAATACTCTATACTACAAGAACCCTAGATTACACCAAAATTGAAGCAGCGAATTACTCCCAAGTGAAGAATCATGTGAAACATGAAGAAAAAGTGAGAAAACAACACATTTGAGCTCACACACAGAAGGAGAAAAGTAACGATTTACATAGGAGTGAAAAAATGGATAATGCAAGCACTCTATACTACAAGAACACTAGATTACACCAAGATTGAAGTAGCGAATTACTCCCAAGTGAAGAATCAAGAGAAACATGGGGAGAAAGACAGAAAACAACATTTTTGAGCTCACACAGACAAGGGGAAAAGTAGCGATTTGCATAGGAGTGGAAAAATTGATAATGCAAGCACTCTACACTACAAAAACACTAGATTACACCAAGATTGAAGTAGCGAATTACTCCCAAGTGGAGAATCAAGTGAGACATGGAGAGAAAGGGAGAAAACAACACTTTTGAGTTCACACACACAAGGGGAAAACTAGCGATTTACATAGGAGTGGAAAAATCGACAATAGAGAGCCTATCAGTAGCCAAGAGTCCCCTACTAGCTATCCTAATCCTTGGAAGACATCCATGGAGGATGAGGAGAAAAAAAGAAGGAGGGAGGAAGAAAAAAAAAAAAAAAAAAAAAAAAAAAAAAAAAAAAAAAAAAAAAGGTAAAAGGAAGAGCAATGAGAAGGAGAGAAATAAGAAGAAGAAGAAAAAAAAAAAAAAAGATGGAGAAGAAGAAGAATAAGAAGAGGAAGGAGAAGAAGAGGAAGAGGAAGAAGAAGAATTTCTCCACTCACCTCTCCTTAGTCTTGAGACTGATATCTCAACTCTTGATGAAGCTCCTCCCTACTTGGCTATGGTTTCCTTTCTCTCCAAGCCCTTCTTCTTCCTCTCTCTCCTCCTCACAAGTTGCCACAAACTCCTATCACTATGGTTATGGAGTCCTCCCCTCTAGGAGGGCTAACGGGACTTCTCTTAGCCTTGCCTTCTTCCTCACTAGCCTGGGAGCTATGGCGGATCACCTTTCCCGCTACCACTAGCCTGTAGGCTCCTACACACTAGCTCATAGTCTCTCCTACACTCCCAAACTGGCAGGGGTTCCCCTCCCTTCAGTCCAAGTGAGTGTAGAGCTCTCATGGGCTCATTCGGGCAGCATGGGCACTCCTCATGCAAATGTGAATGTGGCGGACTGAATCCTCAGCTTATGTAGGCTGGGAACAGCAGTACGGCCAGCCCATGGGCCTCTCCATGTGCCCCATAGTGAACCGAGGTACCCCCATGACCAATTTTTACCACTAGGTCTCTCCGGGGGCACCTGAGTCTCTTTTTGGTCAGGTTCATGCAGTCCGATTGGTTGGTACCAACTCAGCCTGCCCCTTTGGCCTTTTTCCAGCCTCTTACCTCTTGAAAAATGTTGCCCCCTTGAGTCCAAGGTCCAAAGGGTACCCCACTTGAGAGAAAAAGGCATAGTGGGTCTTTTTCTCGATTTTTTCAAGTTTCGGTCTCCCTTGGGTAGGCCGGAGCATTTTTCCATGTGGCGGCACATTTTCAGCCTTGGATCAGGTTGAAATCCAAGGCCCCCATTATTCCGAGCTACCCCATGGTGGTCCTTGCTTCAAATTTGAGCCTATAAAGCTCGATTTTTCAATTTTTGGTGCATCTGGCTCTCTTTTTGGGCCAAATGCACAGTTCCAACTTTTTCCCTCTTTTGTTTCTTTCCATTTTGGGCTGCCACCTCATTCCGGAGCTAGCCGTTTTGAGCTGACCCACAAAAAACGGCTATTTCCTCTTCACCATGAGATCTGATCTCAGATCCATGGCCCAAAAGAAAACCGGCCTTTTTCTTTTTGCACTTTCTCTCATTTTTGTCCTTTTTAATTCAGGTATTGCGGAGATATGCCCTAGGGGTCATATCTCTGCAATCCGGGATGCCCTCCTTGGATCTAGGAGGGGTGAGGTCATCATTGGGACCTTCCAGTCCCTACTGCAACAGTCCCAATGAGCCGACATATTTTCCTCTACCCATTTCTCCCGTTTTGTCTCATTCTCACTTTATTTTCTCTTCTTTTTCTTTTATTTTTCTTTTATTTTTGCTGTGACAAGTGTCAAACAGCTACGCACTCTCTTTCTAGGCCTTGGAACCTCATTCATGGCTAGGTTCATGACCGTTCATAGCCGGCTGTTGGCCGTTACATCCCGGACTTCAAAAATGACCCTCCCACGCGCCTAGGGGGCTCCATTTTGTCGCCGTTTCTCCAATTTTGAACCCTCTTTGCTCCGATTTTTCATGGGCAGTCTATTTTTCACGTTGGGGCTCTTGGAGCTTCATTTTCTCATGCCTAGCTAGTCCGAAATACCTCGGACTGCTAGGCAGCCCTCTCAACCTCGATTTCTTTTTTTTTTTTTACCGTTATGCCTCCCGCTTGGCCCCCCATTAGTACTTACGCTAGTGGTGCTAATATTTTCCACCGTCAAGATCTCCGATCTTGACGGCGCCGTTGGCTTCGCGCAACCACTCCCCACATTGCCTTATGGTTATTCCTTGGGACACCTCAAGTCCCCGTCGCTCTCCCGTACTGGTCTCATTTTATTTTTGTTGCCCTGCCGAAGGTGCTGCCGGCGCGTGTCTCATTTTTTCGACTTTTGTTATTTGGGCCCACTTAGTCTCCGGCGTCATCCCGGTTGGTGCCCAATTTTTATTTCGGACTTCTCATGTCTCCGGCGGTCCCATTT